TTTTTTTTTTTTTTTTTTTTTTTTACAGAGGTGCAGTTCTGCTGGCTTTTGTGAGCGGATTGATGCTTCCAGCTTGTTCGTGGTTCCCGGGCACCAGTTTAATGTGGTGGGTTACAGGTATGTGGGCTCACCCGCAAGTGCGGCAACGTGCTTGTCCAAGTCGCTTGCGAGCACGTGCACCTAGACGGAGCAGATGACCGAGGCGGCCGTACTCGCATGTGCTGTTGCCCAGTGGGCTGCTATGACCAGATGCAGCCGCTCGACCTCCCCCGTCTCCCAAACGACTTCTCTAAGACACACGTGTCAGGTGCCCTGCGATTTGCAGAAGCTCTCAGGAGATGGAGGGCTGCCCATCGCCGCTGCCAGACCGCCTCCCTCTCGGACACTCCTTGCCTCTGGCTTTCAGGACGCCCCCCTTTGGGACCCCTTAATGAAGCTCAGTTTCCCGCTCTCTTTTACACGCATCAGTTTCGTTCCTCACCCCTCTGCCCCGCTTTGGGGCCGTGTTGGCTTATCCAGAGCCAGGATCGTCCCCTCCCGTCAGGATCACAGGATATCAGTGGGGCCGTCACGCTCAGGAGCATTCTGCTTGCTCTTCTATGCTGAGTTAGGCCACTCCTCGCCCTTCCCTTCAAAAGCAGAAATGGTTAGAGCCCGGTTCAGTGTTAATAAACCCCCCACTGTGTGACAGAGCAGATACTGTATTTGCTCTCTGTGAGGAGAGAGGCCCTTCCACGTGCTGATCGAGCGGGTGAGTGGGAGTGCCGCGCTGGGTGCTGTGTGGCCATGCGGGCCTGTGTGCATCCGGAACAGATGTGGGTTGAACGACGCAATAAGTAAACTTGTGTCCCCCCAAGCACCATCACCTCACGTGGAGGTGTCCGTGAAATCCAGACAGGCTGCTCCGTTAGCGGGGGCGGCCGGGCCTCCTGCTCCTGAGCTGTGTGAGCGCCGCGGTGCAGCCGCGGTGAGCTGTTTTTACTCGCTTGGGTGTTTTCCATGGGGTCTGAGGAAGTTTGTGTGAATACTGGCGTAACCTTTCTTCTCATCAGAGGGATGCCTCTGAGATTCCTCAAGAAAAGGGCCAGATACCTTCGCTAATGCTGAGTTTGTAATGAGCATATATAGCTTCTTAATCTGGGAAAAGGAACATGAAATACATGAAAAGTCTGCGAAGCATTTATATCATGCCTTTCCTCCTGGAACAGAAGCAAAATGCTCATGGGGTAGGTAATTAACAGCTTCATTTTAAACATGGGAAAACTGAGGTCCGCAGACATAACAACTGTTAGTTAGAGAACAGAAAAGCTGTGAGCTTAGTGTCATGCTTATATTTATTTCCCCAGGTAAGTAAGGCCCTATCCTTGAGAGTTGAATCTAATCTAGTGTTGCGGTCTCTCTGGAGTATTAAATGGTAATTTAAAAGACTCTAGGGGCAAACAGATTGAAGGCTTCTAATAGGCTCTTTGCAGTAGACAGGAAAGCAGGGCCATAATTCACGAGCTTCATCTCCCTCCCTGTTCGCCTGCTCACCTGAAATAAGTTGGAGTTCACACTTAATTATCTCGAGATGGTACCCACTTTTCACTGATCCATCCCTGGAAATCACATCCTAAAGCAGAGTGTAGAAAAAGGAATCATATTTTTTCATTGTACAGTTAAAGTTGGAAATCCCAACTGGATTTCAGCATGAAATGAATTATGGTAATGACTAATAGAATTTCATGAATGCAAAGAGCTTAAAATCTTGATGGCAATTGCATTAGTAAAATCAAAGTTCCATTTTAAAAAAAGACATAAATGTACCAAACACATTCATAAGACCCCAGTGTACTATACAGTGTGCCTATAATTTTATTACATGCAGAAGTTGATCTTTTGAAAATGAACATGTTAGACATTATAAACATTATTGGAATATTCAGTTACCATTAATTCCATTTGGTATCTTGGACGTAAAGATTTGGAGGAAATTACTTGAGAGACTCATCTCAAACAAAAAACAGTTAATATATACAATTAAGTGAAAAAGGCAAAGTGACTAAGAGTGCGTGTCACATGCCGCCACTGGTGTACAAAAAGAGACATGTGCGCACATGTGTATTTCTTCCTATGCACAGGTGTCTCTGGACAGATGCAGAAAATGCTCACATTGGTCTCTTCATTAGTGGGTGACGTTGGTCAGAAGGACTCTTCTGCCTTTCAAATTTTGGATTTTGAATTGATAGCCTTTTTAAAAAATACAATTTTAGTGGACTTAAGAATATACAGCCTATGTAAAAATAGAAAGTAAGTTTTAAAAAAAGGCAGTAACAGTCAAGGGAAATTTGAAGAGATGTTTTCTTTCCCTCCAGATAATTCTCTGAGGTACAAGAAAACAGCCATTCTTATGTCTTTAGAATATCAAAACAGGACTCATTTAAAAAAATTATCTTGTAAGATAGTAAACAGGAAAATGTAATCTCACTAATAAACACATGTAATTTAGAATGTGATGCTATTTGCGGTAATTTGGAAAAGATTTTTAGAAAAAAATAACTTTGGCTGGGCTCCAAAGGTGAGACTTTTGGCAAGGTTTCTGGGGGAAAGAACACTGGTGCAACTTTCAAGAAAGCAGGTGACCACAGGTAATGACTCTTTAAAATGCTTTTACCTCTTGACACAGTAATTGTACTTCTAAGAGTCTGTTTTAAGGAAATAGAGTTGTAGTAAGAGATTAATTGGCAAAGAAAGGTGTTCCTCACAGTGTCGGAAGCTTCATACATGGCCAGCGATAAGAACATGGTTGCTGATACTGTGGTGTGTTTACCCAGTGGAATAGTATACATACATAACATGTTTCAGGCAAATCATTAGTAACACGAGGAAATGTTCTTGATATAATGTCACATAAGAACCAGAATATAATCCTCAACACATGGCATGGTTCCATTTATGTAAAAATGTTTCCATATAGACGTAGAAGAAGCTTAGGAGAAATACATTGGAGTATTGGCTGTGGTCATCTTAGTCTTAGGCTATTCTTAATTGCTTCCTTACAGTTCTGTGTTTTTAAAATGTCTACAGTGAATGGAAATTATATATTTTACTTCAAAATGAAATTATTTTCCCCCTGTTATTAAAATAGCCATTGTGGGGTGTAAGTGTGGGATGGTCTCACTGTGGAGTTCAAGTCTATGAGTTGTAGAGGGCCCTGGAATCTGGTTCTTGCCCCGAGCAGTGAGGAGTCTGCAGCAGACAGCCTTGAAGGGTGGGTCACAATGATACGACATTGATTGAAATGTCTAGAAAATGTCATAATGTCTAGAAAATGTCATATTCTATGGAGAAGTGTTATATTGATGGCTCCAAAACGGGGTGCTGTAAGACCCTGATACACTTTCTCAAAGCCGACTTCACAGGACCTGGGAGAGAATTGCTATATTTCCTTAGGATTGGCTCAACAAATCAGCCAGCATCTGCTAAGCACCTGCTGTGGACCAGGCAGGTTGCACAGCCCCAAACCTGCAAGGCTGTTCATAAGGGGTGAGCGGCCTGCAGACGGGCCACAGCAGCGTGTCTACAACACTATCTCAGTCACATCTTCTTTCGGGCCCATGTGGTTGGGAAAAACAACTTACTTAATGTAGGACAAGAGGCAGTGTTTAAGTGGACAGAAATGCCTTCAGAACGTTCCTTAACAAAAACACCCTAGAAACCACACTGACTACATATTTTCTAATGTCCTGGATCTGGCTAGTTAAATTAAGTGGACATGTTTTGGTATTACAGGTAAGTTCACTTTTTTCATTTTTTATCGCCCTTAGGATCTTAACACAAATAATCTAAAAATGCCTTCTCTCCTCCCCCACCCATTCCTGAAGAAATATCACAGAACCGAGATTCACTGGGCCCACATCCCACCTCGAGGGGTGCAAGTAACTCACTGTGTGACCTCCAGGAAGACACCCCATTCCTCATTCGTGTGCAGATTGGACCGTCTGCCCCCAGGCCCCTCCTGGCTCTCAGTGGCTGTGCATCAGCCGTCCCACAAGCTTATTCTCCCTCCCCCCTTTTTATTCTTGAGAAGGTGGCAGGAGCTGTTCCCGCTGCCCTGCCTGACTCGGTTCTCTCTCCCGAACAGGAGCGGCCTCGGCCGCCGGCCTCCTGGGCCTGCCCGCGGGGGCGGCCGCCGCCTCTGGCTGTGCGCTCGCGCTCTTCACGGCGTCCAGGTGGCCTGCAGCGCTCGGACACCTTGTCAGCTCAGGGTCGAGCCCGGGGAAAGCCATGACCGTTGCCATGATGTTTTATCTTCTAGATACATTTTTCTGTGCATGGTGCACAGCTTTTAAATTTGTTCCAGGAGGTGTGTACGCTAGAGAAAGATCCGATGTGCTTTTGGGTGAGTACATTTGAAAGGCCTGGGTTAGAGTCATGACTACTGGAAATGACCCTTTAAGACTGGGATGTAGCGCTTTACATGACTGGTGGAAATAAATAAGGTGATCTGGCTTTTCTCATTAAAACAGAGTCTCTTGGTTAAAAAAACAACTGGAGGAATGTCTAAATTATGACTTGAAAACAAATTTCTTCATTCATCTGAGTTTCAGTAATATTTATTACTACAAAGTCCTTTTAAGTGAATTGTGAAAAACAAGTTTAATTCATAATAAAGAATAAAAGAGGTACTAGGTAATGCTTGCATTTATGCTATGTTGGGAAAGGGTGTGATAAAAATGCTCACATCACTATTTCAATGGTAGGCATATAAATATATATAGGAATTGTGATTTTCTTGGGTTCTTCTGAATTTTATCTGGGATTTAAAAATATATATCTTTATTGATTTCAGGGAGAGGAAAAGAGAGGGAGAGAGATAGAAACATCAATGATGAGTCCTTGATTGGCTGCCTCCTGCACGCCCCCCACTAGGGAACTGAACCCGCAACCCGGTCATGTACCCTGACTGGGAATCAAACCAGGATCTCCTGGATTGTAGGTCGATGCTCAACCGCTGAGCCACGCCCAGCCGGGTCTATGATTTTTATTTACTATATTTTTACCCATAAAACATATTTTGCATATGTGAATCTTAGTGTAAATGATAAATTTCTAAGTCATAGAAGAAATACATTTTTCATTTCAGTGGTTATGAACTTATGTGCCAAAATTAAAATTTCATAAACCCATCTCGGTTTAGTACTTTAAAAATTGTCCGCTGGCCATGATGAAATTACTGATGTATAATATATAAATCAAATGGTGCTTATCATTTTAGTTTAAGTAAAACATGTCAGATGCTCCCAGGATAACATCTTTGAAACATGAGGTGCCAAAACATGTAGGGGATTCAGTTCTTGTTTGTTCATGCATTCATTTTTCCATTTGTTCATTTACTCATTAAATAAGAATCGTTGCACACCTCCTGTGTTCCAGGCACAGTGCCAGGTGCTGGAGATTTAAGAAACATAGTGCCCGTGCCCACCTGAAGCTTCAGTGTAGTGGGGGAAACACCATGCATAAAATAAGACAAATACCCATGGAATTACAGTTGGGGTGAGGCCTGCACATAGTCTAGGCTTCTACTTGAGTTCCTTTGCTCTTCCCACCATGCCCTGGGTATATATCCAACTACTCCATACATTTTCACATGACTTTCTCTATTCCACAAGCTAGACATATGTCAGGACAGGCTATAATTTGGAAGATATATTTTTAAGTTACATAAAATACTTAAAATGACCTTTGAGAGTTTGATATTTCTGGCAAATTCCCAAGCTCTCATCTGATTAGAGAAGTCCATGGCTGCATTTCCTCTGCACTAACTTTGGCTTTGCGAACTTTGTATTTCTTCTGGTTTCTTTCAGGTGTGTGTACTCTGTCCTGCTCTGTCCTCCTGTCCAATGCCCTGCTTTTTCCTTACTCCAGCTTGCTTAGGGGTCTGCCATGTGGAGAGACCGAATGAAAGTAAGAGTCATTCTGAGCATAAGTTTATTTCTTTAGAGTGTTATGAAATATGTGCTTTTGGAGTGCTTTTCAACTGAGAATTTTTTTGTAGTAAGAGCGACACTATATTGATAAGGCCACAAAATTAAGAAATGTTGGTAATGTTCAGAGTAGCTTTTATACAGTTGAAAAGAAATCTATATTAAATCAGAAACTAGTTATTATTTTATTGTCTGGGTTTCTCCTGCTATTTCCTGGAAATTGCACATAATTAAAAAAAAATTTTTTTTTGCTAGCCTGCCACCTAAACTTAACTTTTACTTGGCATTTCTGAATTTATATATTGTTCAGTCATACCTCTGTTTCCATTCTTAGTAGATAAATTTTAGAAGTATGGAAACTTTACATGTAAGCTACAATGTAATGCATCCCAGTTGAGCTCAACTTTATGGGCCCAATTCATTGGCACAGGCGTATTCAAGCATGCATTCTCCACGAGGAGCCTGTGCCCAGGATACCCACATCCCAGGCCAGAATCACTGACACAATACTGCGGTGCTGAGAACCTACACAGCCTCAGCTTGGTGCAGGTGAAGTCTCTTCAGTGGAGAAGACAGAATCCTTAAGGCCTTTTGGAAGCTCCTTTCTCTTGAGCTCCACCTGCCTCTGCCCAGTTAGCAGTGAATCACATTCCCAGCAACCTAACAACTAGGAAACGCTCAGGAAATTAGAAGAAATCCATCAGGGTTCTGCCGAGCTTATTTCTCATGATCATCCCAATGATCAAAAGTACTGCTAGAGTAACTGCTTAGGTACTGAGATAAATTAATTTAATAACTGAATTTCCAGGGTGTGCTCATTTAATTGAAATCTTGGCTCCTGGAATTTATCATTGGAAGGATTTTTGGATTGAAATGTAATACAGTCTAATATATTCTTTCTCTTTTAATAGGGACAGTGATGCTAATTATTGGGTTGGATATGCTATTTGGTCCTAAGAAAAGTCTTGACTTTCTCCTTCAAACAAAAAACAGTCCTAAAGTGCTTTTCAGAAAGAGTGAAAAATACGTGAAACTTTGTAAGTATAGTTTGCTTTCTTTTAAAAAAACATTTATTTAAAATATAAAGCTTCAAACATATATGAAATTAGAGTATAAGGAACCCTGGTGTACCCATCACCCAGTTCCAACAGTTGTTAACAATTTTCCTGTGTTATTACAGCTACCTTCCCTACTGTTTTTGGTGAAATACTTTAAAGCAAACCCCTGATGTCATTTCAACCGTAAATACTCTGTGTTAGTTTTGTTTCACTTCTAACGTAGATAAGTTGATTTAACAGGTAAAATTTCCAAAATGCTTTGTTTTAATTCCATTTCTTGTTCTCCTTTTTTAGGAAATTAAATATTTTAACTGTTAGAATATTGATGAGCTAGAAACTCAAACGTGAAATAAGTTTACTATTTAATATGACATTTCAAATGAACTGGATTGACTAAAGATTTATTGAATGCATAAAATTTGCAGATAGTGTATTAGGATACAATAAATTCATAACTACATAGTGTTATGTAGGATTTAAAGACATGTAAAAATGAGTCCTCATCCTCAGTGAGTTGATACTTTACTAATGAAGGCAAATATTATAAAGAGATAGAAAACACTCAAGAAACTAAATAAAATTTCAGTATATTTTTGAAAGACGTGTTGCAAAGCAGTAAGACCATTATATAAAAACCTTAATATGTGTTCTATCACAATTTGAAAAGATTATTCTAAAATTTAAGGGACTTTTTAAAAAAATCCTCACCTGATGATATTTTTTCCATTGCTTTTCAGAGAGAGTGGAAGGGAGAGAGAGAGAGAGAAACGTCGATGTGAGAGAGACACGTTGATTAGTTGCCTCCCACACGCTCCCCGACCAGGGCAGGGGATCCAGCCTGCAACTGGGGTACATGCCCTTGGCTGGAATCAAACCTGGGACCCTTCAGTCTGAGGTCCAGTGCTCTAACCACTGAGCAAACCGGCTAGGGCTTAAGGGACTTTTTTAACATTTAGAGGGTTTTTTTCGTGTTCTTATGTTTTAGTTACATCCTTTGAAACCAAGATCTGGCAGTTTTTGCTTGTTTGTTTTTAATCCTGACAATCTTTGTCTTTTTTATTATTAAGAACCGTAATTTTTTAATTGATTCATTAAATTGAGGCATTTGGAACAGTTTCCTTACAAAGTCGTTTAGACAGTTTTATGTGATTTTTAAAAATAGACTATTTTTTAGAGCCATTTTAGGTTCATAGCAAAATTGATCAGAAAGTAGAGAGATTTCCCATATACCCCTGGCCCGTGCACGCAGCCTCCCCCACGATCAACATCCCCCACTGGGGTGGTGCGTTCACTCCCATTGATGACCGTCCACAGAGCCCATAGTTCACAGGAGGGTTTACTCTTGATGTTGTAGATTCTGTGGGTTTGGGCAAACGGATACTGACACGTTTCTACCATCATAGTATCATACAGGGTAGTTTTACTGCCTTAAAAAATCCTCTGGGACCTGCCTATTATTCATTCCTCCCTCCCCCTGCCCATGGCAACCACTATTTTTGTCTTTTTAAAACGTTAATAGATTTAATTTTTTTAGAGCGGGTTTAGGTTACAGAGAAAATAGGGAGTAGAGTTCCCATGCACCCCGTCTGACTCCCACCCCCACAGCTCCCCCCGCGATTCACGTCTTGCATGATTGTGGTGCATTTGTTACAAATGAAGAGCCAATATTGCTAAATTATTATGAACTAAAGTGCATAGTTTACATTAGAGTTCACGCTTGTTGTTTATGTTCTGTGGGTCTTGATAAAGGTATGATCACGTCCCTCCCGTTACAGCATCAGGCAGAGTCGCTCCTGAACATCCCTGAGCGGCACCTACCCATCCTTCCCTCCCTCCGAACTCCCTCAGCCACTGCCTTCAGCGGTTTGCCTTTTCTAGAACGCCAGCCTTCGCCTTTTAACTTCAGAGTTTAATCTATTTTTTTCGCAGTTTCTCGTGTATTATGATTTACTTCTATCATCGTACTTTTTCTACTTTCTCCAGGCCTATTTTTCCTTGTTTACCTTCTTGCTTTCTTTTGCATGGATTGGGCTTTGTATTTCTTATTCCCTTCCTCCCCACTTCTCGTTCTAGTTTGCACAAGATCCTTGCTTAATAGGTTCAGTAATGTCATGAAAATTATTTTTTTAAGCAGGCTTAATTTCTTTTAAACAAGTGTCTTTGCTTTCTTTTTAGTTTTGTGGCTGCTCGTTGGCGTGGGGCTGTTAGGCCTGGGACTGCGGCATAAAAGCTATGAGAGGAAGTTGGGCAAAAGGGTAAGTGATTAAAAATTTTACCGTAGAACTTTAGATGACATGTATGTATATACACACATTTGTACACTTCTCTATCATGATTGAACTCTAGACCTGGATCCAATGACTTCAGGGCCCTCTATCTCAGCTCCGTAACCCTTGGGTCAGAGGCTGGTGGCACAGTAGAATTATTTGATGAAGTTGGGTTGGTTCCTGGGGCAGGACAGACACGTAGAGTAGAGGCAAATGGCTCGTGATTTTGTTATATGAAGTGATTTTTCTCACCCCACAGTTTAACATGTCTAAACTATGAAATAAATAACTATTTTATAATGGGCTTTCTTGTACTGTCTGGTAGATGTTGCTGAAGGCAATAATGTGAGATTCTTTGGTTTAAGAAAAATCTTACAGATAATTCTTGATTTTGCAGATTTAGGGTCACTTGTGCAGTGATGAGCTGTGAACGTTTTCCTGTCTCTTTTCCCTCTTGCTGTCTGTGGTTTTGTATGTCTTACAGTCCCTTTCTCTGCTAGAAAGGTGGGCAGGAGTAAGTCAGTGCTATGTTACGCTTTCCCTCTGCTCTGATCAAAAGCCTGATGTGTTTCATAATGCAGTTAGAGTTGCGGTTTGGGGTAAAATAGCATTTGCAGGTTAACTTTGGGTTTTAGCAATCTGTATTACCAGGAAAATGTTTCATATTAAATTAAAAGCTATCCTGAAGCTGCAGGCTGTGCTTCTCTCACGGACCTTTGTTCTAGTGCCTCAGGGAGTGCCTGGCACATGCTGGGAACTCAGTTAACTACTTCTTAAGTAAGTGAATATCTCACTACATGATTGTGTTCTTTCTCTCCTTGGTTTATTAGTTGCTGTTATTGCAAATAATGTCAGAAGAAGATATGTAATGTCAGGGATTCTTTTAAAAAGGAGTCGTTTCAGTTGGATTTTGTACCTGTTTTTTTGTTCACTCATTCATTTGATAAGTCTATTGAATTTCTCTTTTGCGCCTGGTGACAGAGATTCGGAGGTAAACAAGTTGGCCAAGATGCCCCCTCTCACGGAGTTTACATTCTAGGGGAGAAAGACAGTATTCAGAGGAACAAATAAGGGACCAGGATGACTTCTGGGTCTTGGCTTGGGGAACTGATGGACGGAGGTAGCAGTGACTGCGATTGGAAGAATCAGTGGATGCCAGATTTTGGAGTGATCAAACCCAGAGTTAATGATGAAGTTGCATGAAAAGGGATGGCTCGATGACTATAACCGGGCTTCTCGAGATCTCTGTGGATGGTTCCATTCTCTTTATGTGACGCTCAGTAAGCTGGACACTCTCTTGTGTAGAGATGAAACGCCCAGCTCACTGCTGGTGCACACTGAGCTTTTTGTGTTGAGTAACGGCCCTCCTGCGCCTAGAGGCTGCTGCTTCTCCCAGTCCGAGCTCCTGTGGTCCACTCTGAGTTGTTTTTCAGTTGTGGTGACAGATTCATTCTAATCCAGCCGCCCTCTTTCACGGGATCCCTGCTGTGGGTCAGGAGGTGTTAGTTTGAGGCGATGGTTAGGGTTGGGCAGTGCATTCCCTGACTGAGCCCATGGACCCAAAAGAGGAACCCCCAAAGGGGCTGTCCCGAAGCTCGGCCTTGCCGGGACAGTAGGGGAGTAACACCATCCATACCTCGGTTAGAATGGGCACACCACTGTGCAAATATATTAAAGGACTTTCTGTATCCCTCTGGTCTCTTTCATCTCTGGAGCAAGGGAAACCCTCTCCTGAATGTGATGTTTATTATTTCCATGAATTTCTTTATATTGTTATGATAGATGATCTATCCCTAGACAATATTTTTCCCCATGTTTTTATCTTTATCTAAATAACACTTAACATATACATTTTGCAACTTACTTTTTCTTAAAATCATCTTTGTGAGATTTGTCCATATGGAAATATGTAGTTATTAGCACTGTGTAGTATTCCATTATACATATGTGATGCAATTTATTTATTTTCCTATTGAAACAACAGCCAGACTGTTTCTAAGTGTTTGCTGTTATAAACAATGTTTATTACCAATGCTCACTTTCCAAACTTCTAAGCTTAAGCTACAAAGTCACAGAAGATTATGAGAGCACCATGCAGCAAAAATCTCCTTATTTTATGAAATAAATGTGGACAGATGTCTAAGGAAATTCCTTTGCTGAAATATGAATTTTGGCAGATAGAGGTGGAGAAAACTGGGTCATTGAACCTGCCATTGTTTACATGCCGCCCTAAGTCCCATTAAAACTTCCTCAGGCACCAACCACAGAGGTCTCTGCCGCCATCTGGCCTTTCAGGTTTGGCTACGACAATGAAGGATGGCCTAGTCTAGAAAGATCAGCTCGACTGCTTAATGAAACAGGTAAGTCTTACTGGAATTAGTTCTAGGTTTTGAGACACTACTTTTATTGCTTTTATTTTGAGCAAGATCATAAGAAACAGGAGGAGGGTTTGCTGGGTCATAAACCATTTCTTAAAAAGGCTTTCCTTTGGTGGGCAGCTGCAGGTTAAGCATCTGTAACCACATCTGTCCTTGTTGGAGAGCAATTACTTCTGTTGATTCTGAACAAAGCCTCACCCTGGGTATCTACAGGGGATTCTTGTCATGCCTTTGCTCTCAGAGATGCCCCTGCTGGTGGCTCCTGTCACTTGGGGACTCACTCTGGGGACCAGAAAACTGTTGGCTTAAAAGGCAGCACGGGTCAGAGTGATGCTCATTTGAGAAGCAAATCACTTTCAAGAGCCTAAGGGACAATTTTTAAGCTTTTGTGCTTGAGGGAGCTCATCCTTGAAACTATGTGGGTGCTTGACTCCTACATCAACTGCATGGAGGATGGAGCATGGAGCAAGCTATGTAAAGGGCTGAATGGTTCTGGTTACCCCTAATGATGAGCCCGTCTCCTGGGAAACTGCTCCAGTCTAATGCAGCTAAGAAAGTTCTTTGGCCTTTAGTCCTTTAGTCCTGATTACAGGCCTCCTTCAAGGCACATCTGGCCAATACACTTACTTCTGTGCCAATACCATGGAGGGTTTGCCCAAGAATAAAATGCTGTCGCACACCACTCTTTTCTGAACATAAATTGGGTATTTGAGAAAGGCATTAAGCTTATTTGAGACTTGGAGAATGATGTCAATAATATTTGCAAATTTAGAAAAGTTATGCTTTTACACTTTCCTGCATTTTCTTAAGGTGCCCCACATATTAATTACATTCTAAATATGGGAAAATTTTCTAATAGCTCAGGTTCGGTCCACTTCACTTTTGTGACTCATCAAGAATTTGTTTTAGATTTATGAGTGAAAGCAAAAGGTTCAGGAACAACGTTTTGCTAATTGTTTTTGCATGGTTGTGGTTTATCACTACGTGCTTTTTTTTTCCTGAACAGGTGCAGATTTCATAACAATTTTGGAGAGCGATGCTTCTAAGCCCTATATCGGGAACAATGACTTAACCATGTGGTTAGGGGAGAAGCTGGGTTTCTATACTGACTTTGGCCCGAGCACAAGGGATCACACTTGGGGGTGAGTGCACCTTGGCTGCTAGTCCTGAACGCAGCTCTGCGAGACTAGACAGCGTAGGCCTAGGGCGGAAAGGTGAGATTGTCTTACCTTCGTCCTATGACTGTGCCCCAGCGATGCTTCTTGGGAGATGAGCAGGGCCTGAAAATACGCATATTCTGTAACTGTTTTAATGGTTTCCCTGTTACTGGATATTTTCAATTTACTGTAATGAACCATTCAGCGTAGGTGCTGAGATTATAGCAGATGGCATGTCTGACCCGGACATTGTCCTCATGGAGCTTACACTCTAGTGCGAAGAGACAGAAAATAAACACAGAAAGAAGTAAATAAGATCATTAGAGACAGTGTTTTTGTGCTCTGCAGAAAAGGAAACAAGCTAACGAGAGAAAGCGACTGGGCGGCAGGGGCAAGGGGGATGCTAACGCAGGTGGAATGGTCAGGAAGGTTCCTCGAAAACCTCATGAGGACATAGAGCCCAGCCTTGGGAGGAGCTGAGGGGACCACCAGGGCCAAGGTCTGAGGCAGGATCCAGCGTGGTGCGCCTGAAGCATAGGGCCCGAGGGACACCCGGCGCAAAGCGAGGCCAAGGGCGGGCACCTCATCTGAGGGACCCGTCATCCCTGCCCAGGACTTGACTTAATTAAATTGCGATGGGAAGCCATTCGAGGGTTTAAAACACGGAGCAATGTGATCTGATGCACATTGTTAAAGGTCATTCCAGCTGTCCTTGGAAGAACAGAGTGGGGCGGGCGCAGTGGCACGGGCGAGCCGTGGCAGTGAGGGCCGGGGAGAGGGTGGCACAGATTCAGGAGCTGTCTTGGAGCAGAGCTGACAGAACTGAGTGATGGGCTAGGCGCCAAGGGCCCAGAAGTTAAGAGCCAAGGGCAATGTGTAGGTTTTTGGCCTAAATACCTGACAGGAGATATGTCATTGAATGGCACGGGCGTAACCAGGAAGCAGCAGGATGGTGCTGTTTGAGATGTCCCTGGCCAGGCAAGTGACATCCAGTAGGCAACTGTGTGTAGCCTGGAGAGCTGAGTGGGACAGGACAGGCTGGGCATGTACATTCAGCCCTCATCAGTGGGGACAGTCCCATTGGAGGGGCTCCATGAGGGGGCAGAGAGAGTAGGCGCCGCCAGGGGATGGAGGCTAGCCGGTGCCTCAGTTCTGCTCACCCATCGTGTAGTTCTTTGACTTAGATTGAGGTAGAACATGCTTTCATATCTTTATTGGACAGGTTTTAATTTCTAATTTTATAAATCGTGACTTTGTGTCCTTGCTGGCAAGATTGCACATTTCCAAATGTGTTGATTGCTGTTAGAACTGTTTATGCAAATATGTTGCTAAAGGAGCAATGCAAGTAAAATGGACTTTGTGGATTACTAATCCTTCCCTTTTCGCGTCTCCATAACATTTACTAAAATAGAGTTGATAAAACTGTCTGATCAGAGTTTATTAGTGACACAGTGAGAAACGCAATGGACAGACAGGCTGCCGCATAAGTCTGCGGCGTTATTGCTCTGAGTGGCCCTCGGCGGGAAGCCGCAGGTGTGGCACGTCCCCCATGAACACATTTGCTTGGTCCCGCGGGCGTGATGCGGTCGGAGCAGCAGTGACGCTTCTTTTCATTCCCCTGCAGGATTATGGCTCTGTCGAGACACCCCATTGTGAAGTCGGAGCACCACCTTCTTCCGTCGCCAGAGGGCGAGATCGCGCCAGCCATCGCCCTGACTGTGAACATCTCGGGCAAACTGGTGGATTTCGTTGTGACACACTTTGGGAATCACGAGTGGGTTTCTTAGGTTTATGTAACGATACACAACTGCCAAGAAACATTATTAACACATTACTTTGATTTCCGTGCAATGACCTATCCTTCTTCTTTTTTTTTCTTTTTCTCCCAAAGTATTTTCCCCTGTGTAATTGCTTTTAAAAATCAGACATAGAAACATTTGAGATGCAGGCAGCCCTTAGTGATGGCACGAGGCAGCAACAGTGGTTGTGTTAGCCAGCAGCTACTGAGAGGTGCTGTGCTAAGTACTATTTAATCTTCATTCTGCTGGAGGTATGTACTCTTATAGCCCCATTTTGTCAATAAAGAAACTAGGCTGAGAGAGTTACATGACTTGTCCACCCAGGGCCACACAGCTAGGAATCAGGTAGACCCAACTCAGAGCCTGCCAGTACTTGGTACCACAAGGAAAACGGGACTATAGAAAAAGGAAATTCCCTTTTCCTACGAGGTTACTACAGTTGGAAGCACCGTTGGGATTTGAGAGCACTAAATGGCATTCCTTTCCCCTTCGTGTTTGCACAGTCAACTGATAGGGGCAGAGGAATCTGGCAGGGAGATCAAAATATCCTCTTTAATTCTGATAAGCCTATTTGGACAACACGACTTAAGTGTGTCCATGTGGACCTGCTAATACATCTCCCAACAATACACAAAACTGACTCCCCCAAACAGCAGGCCTGACAGCAGAGTCTGCCCTGCCAAGCCCCCACCTCGGCAGAGAGAGCCAGAAAACACCGTGTTTACAAACTAGCAGTTTTCAAGAAGAGAGAGGAAGGACTTGAGACAAGCCTGCCCATAATTCTTCCAGTTAATCCTTCTAAACTTAATTAATTATAAAAAGTCCTCCCCAAAAGAGGAGAGTGGAGAGAGAGGGGCCAGAGATGGTTTTCTAAGAAAGTCCCTCTGCGAGGACACACGAGGAATGGAGAATGAGTTTTATCCCTCAAATCACATTCACAACCAGGGACTTACGACTGACTAAATCGTGAACAATGCCAAGAATAGATTGTAAAGGCAAAGATAAAGGTATATAATTGATACTCTACCATAGCAAACATTCTGTGATGATAACAAAAAACACTGATGTGAAGGGCTGAGTGCTATAAAATAGGCAAACGGGCTCTGTTCGCATCGATAACACATGGCCACAGAGCTTTAACGTGACATACAGGACATTAGAAAACAACATTGTCGCACTATAGGTTTTAGCTAAACTAAACGACTGTGTCTGTACCCCTATTTTCTTTTACCTCGCTTTCCTCACAGTATTGTGGGGATCTGTGAAAGCAGGCTTGCATACTTTCTGAAGTAAGGGCCTAAGTAATACAGACAGATCGTCAGATCGTGCGATCAGCCTCTGCTTGCCTCCTTGGAAAGAAGACAGATGACAGAGATGGTCCTTATCTCTTTAAAAAGCTGTTTGGAGAAACGCCTTCTGTTTCTCCCAGTAATTTTCATGTAGCAAGTATAGGCATTCAAAAATAATAGCAGTTGAGTTGTGTTTATCTTTTTAAAAATAGGCACTTCTGTGTTTAAAGGTTGCAAGGTTTTTACCCAAGAAGCAGTTGAATCTGCTCCTTCCCTTTTTTCTTTGCTTTTTCCCCTGCCCCCTTCAACTCCTCTGAAACATAAAGAACAGACTTGAAGGGAAGACAAGGCTGAGAGACGGAGCTCAGACTGGGTTGGAAGGAGAGCCTTGTCTAAGTTTCCATTAACCACATCTTTAGAGCTCTGTCAGCAACACCAGATCCTTTACTTCCTATCTGACTCACTGCATTTAATAATACTGACAACAGTAGCAGTAGCAATAATAGCTAACCCTTGTTCGGGAGATGTACCTCGAGGGAGGGAGAGAGGCAGTGTAGTGTCATGGTCAAGAGCTATGAGTTCCAGAACCGAGAATCAGACAGTCTGGTTTGAATCCTAATCCAAGGTGCATCCTCAAGTTACTTAACTAGCTTTCTCCTCTGTAAATCAGGGGCAATAATCCTGCCTGTTTCATAGGATTCTCATGAGGATTAAATGAGATATCTTCTCTCATGCAAAGTACATGAATACAGTAAGTGCCCAATTAATGCTGGCCATTATTGTTAAACCAAGTCAGATGACTCCAAACGTAAAGTACGTGGGGCAGCTTAGGAAAGAATTCATTCATCAAACATAAACTGAGCATCTGCCATGCCAGAAGCCCAGTGCTGTGTGCAGTCTCTGTGCTTTGAGCCACAGCTCTGTGTCCCTCCTTAGAAGCCTGCCCGTGAACACTGTCCTCCCAACAAGTGACATGAGGAAGTTGACGCTTCAAATGCTTTGTGAAGCCAACATTACATATTTTTGTTTGTCTTTGTTGGAAAAGACAAACAAAAATACTAATACAAACTGTAATGCTAAGTACAAGATTCATACTGTGAATAAATCAAGATCTCCGTTTCTAGTGATTACGGCCTACAAGCATGAACTCACGTAGGAATGACATACGCAATGCTTGTGCATGTTATTAGCTGATTCGATAAGATTTAAAAAATTCCTGACTACTCAAATATCTCTTTAGAGCCAATAAGTAAGAAACAGCATTTGTGGATTCAGCATTGTCGGTTAACTAAGCCACCAGTTAATCGCCACTGTTTTCTCTTTTTCTTCTATAAACGTGCATAAATGTACAAACAGGAAAGAGCACAGAACCTGTAGTCTGAAGACCTGTGTTCTAGTTTTGGTTCTGGTGTAACATAACTGTGGTGAATTTCAGGTCACTTGTTGCTGAAAATTGGATAAAATTCTCTTTTCTAGCCCCCATTATAAGGCTATTGGGCTGAGCAAATATTAACAGATCAGAAAATGTATCTGTGTGCTCTCTCTTTCCTTGCCTTATGTCTATACATAGGCTTTCTGTTTTTATTATCATCACTGGATAACATGTATCTGCTGAGAAAATGTAAACCACATTCGTAGATTATTTTCCAGTCATATATTGCTAAAATATATTTGTACAAAAACACTGTGTTGCAGTGACTTTGGAATTTTCTACACTTGGATTTGAATCCTGGTTCCATGTGTCAGAAGGAACAGAATTCGCTGCAGACTTAATGGACTACTTACCAACATATTAGAAGGGTCAAAGGGACCGATAAGAGATGCTGAGGCACTCAGGCACTAGTAGCAGTGGGGAATCAGTACCATCCTTAGGGACAAGCAGAGGAAATAGTGTTCCCAGAGTAAGAGCTGGACCAGGAAGATGGGCCACTGGTGTGGGAAATGCAACTATTGCCACAGGGACTGGGGAAGGAATACCCTGACTTCTCTCTCCTCTCAACCTTCCTTCTCCTGCTGGGGCCTCCGATTGGTGAAACATCACTGGAAATCAGCAGACAGGGGAGCCCAGGAGATGAGATCTGCAGGGGTCCGCCTCCCAAGGCATAGAGAAAGGCTGAGAATGGATCTGGGCAGGGGAGATGGAAAATAGCCATGGACATGTTACTTACTCAGCATCATTTAAAAATAGAGCTAACGCCTGCCCTCTCGGTTATTAACAGAATTCAGTATCAAAGATGTTAAACAATCATTCTTTTCACTCTTTCATTTCTTGAGACACCTTTTAATAGTACTCAGCTGTCCACACATACTCAGCTTAGTCCCGTCTTCAGATCCTACCTTAATGAGGTGTCTCCAGTCTTCTCAGTCCTTGGTGATCTCCCACTAGCTTCCTGCATTATTGTTTGTTTTTTCTTTAATCATTTATTCGCGATCTTTCTCTGTAAATGTCTGTGTTGTCCTACCGCCTGTTGGCTCTTGGATCCGTTCCGGGCTTGTCTCCCTCTCGGCTGCACATTGTAGGGAACCACGCTTCCCAGAGCCGGTTACCTTCTGGCTGCTGCGGAGGTGCAGCCACTGGGAAGCACTTGCAAGGCTGGGGCAAGGGTTGGGGAGAAGCCAGGGTATTTCCCATCTTGCCTCCCTGCTTTCTCTGGTTTTCTGGCAGCAGGTGAGTGTTGTGTGGCTCCAGCTCCTCCTTAGATGGCCCCCGGTCCTTTTGGACAGACTCCTCCGTAGCACCGTCTCTCCCATCAGTCAGGGCTGGCTTTTGGCTGCGGGGCCTCCTTCTGTTGTCCCTGTGGCCCTAGAAGTGGTACTGGTTTCTCCTTGTTGCAAAACTCCAGTTGCCTCACTGACTACTGTTTGGCTTCACATCACCTCCATAACCAGTTCCCTATATTAAATTACCTTTGTTTGAAACACCTAGTATGCTCTCAGTTTTCCTGGCTGCATCCTTTCAAATATGATGTCCTTATTTCCCCCCAAATAGATTGTAAACCACCCCAAAGCTTGATGTCCTTGCCTACTTACCTCATTTATACACTAACAGTGCTTTGCATAATAAAAGTTTTATGCTTAGCCACTTTTAGAAGGTGTTCCGTTGAGGGAGCTGAGTGCATAAAAGCCTGGTGTGCTCTGTGAATGTTAGGATTCTCCCACTTATCAGGGCTGCTGCTGCTGCTTTAAAAAAATATTTTTTTTATTACTAGTCTTTAGCTGTAATACTGATGACCAGGTCTCAGATGATTATTGACATAATTTGTCCTGACGAAAAGTTAATGCTGTTTTGGACTAGATATTTAAATCAAGTTGACTCCAAATGATTTGTGGGGAAAGATGATGCTGTTCTTCATCCAAAGTTTGTCAGCCTACCCAGTGGAAGTTGTCTGTCTCGGTCTTGTTCCTTTCCAGAACATTAAGACATTTGCCCAAGTAGGAATTACTCTGGGTTTGTGCTCTACTTGAAGATAATTTTTGGGAACTTAGGTACCTAAGACTTTAAAAATTGTTTTGCCAATGCAAAACAAAATTACATTTTTTGTGGTTTTTTTTTTTTTTTTAGAGATGACCTCGACAGAAAACTTCAGGCTATTGCTATTTCAAAACTCCTGAAAAGTATCTCTAATCAAGTGATATTTCTGGGATATATCACCTCGGCACCTGGTTCCAGAGATTATCGACAGCTTATTGAACATGGAAATGTGAAGGTAATGCAATCTTAATAGGATTTGATTTATTAAGTACTATGTTTGTTCTTCATGTTTAAGAAAAAATAAACCAACCCAACAGTTTAATATGTATTCTGATCATCTACTGCTGCATAGGAAACCATCTAAAAATACACTAGCTTTAAACAACAGCAATCATCAGTTTGCTCAGGCATCTGCAGTTTGGACAGGCCTCGGGGGGTAGCTCATCTCTGTCCCACGCAGCTAGGGGCTGAGCTGGGGACTGGGGTATTTACGCTGCAGGTGGCTTACAGGTGGCAAGTTGGTGCTGGCTGTGGACTAGAAGCCCAACTGGGGCTTTGGGCTTGGGGTCCTGGTTATCCTCTAAGGAGTATTTGGGTTTCCTCCCTACATGATGGCTGGGTTCCAAGAGTAGTGTCCCAAGAGAATTAGGAGGAAGCTGTACTGCCTCATATGACCTAGCCTTGGAAGTCATATAGTGTGACTTCCGCAGTTGTCACAGCAGGCTCTCACTCGAGTGGCAGACACATAAACCCCTCGAGGAGTATCGACATCACATTATAACAATACTGTGTGGAAAGTAGCCATATTTCAAAAATACAGTCTTCCCCAATATGAAAGTTAATTATGATGTTGAGAGGAAAAGATAAAATGAAATGGCAAACAGAGGGGCTGGCTGATCGGCCAGACAGGGCCTCGCTAAATGCCACTGAATTAGCCCTTACCTGTTCAGGTCTAAAACACCGGGTTTGTCGGTGTACCCAGATGTAATCATGCTTTGGGGACTCACACAAACCACATCTGGAGACTGATAGATACACTAGAGTGCTGACAGCATGAATTGATAGCGAGAAATAGAATTGTTATGTTTCGGTGAGCCCTGGGTAGATGTCTTGGTCCTTTGACTTTATGACGTGAGAACATACACGTGACATGGGATGCGCATGACGTGAGACGCTGTCTGCGGAGGGGAAAGCTCATCTCACTTATCAAGTGCTCGGGAAGACAGGTGGGGACAGGGAGGCATGATGAGCCCTTTCTGCACATGACAGAGAACACAGGGTGGCTTCAATAGAGAGAAGTGCGTTGCTTCCTTTCTATTTTGGCTGTAGAAGTGCAGCATTTCTTTCTGTGGAAGCCCGGGTAGGAGATTCAGCACCAGAGCCGCACAGCGGTGTGAAGGCCCCTCCTAGCTTGTCGCTCCGCTGATGAAGCCTCCGTTCCCAAGGCTGCCTCTTGGTCCAGGACGGCAGCGCCGTGTCCCGGGCAGCAGGACGGAGAGGAGGGAGTGAAGAAGGGGCCAGAGCGTGTGCAGGTTATCTCTGTCGGGAAGGTGCAGGAAACTGGCCTCCAGCACTGTGCTCACATTTCATGGACTGGAATGTAGTCCGTGGCCACACTTTGATGTATAGGAAGTGGGGAGGTGCAATATTTTAATGTTTTTTAAAAATATTTTTTATTGACTTTAGAGAGAGAGGAAGGGAGAGGGGAGAAGCATCAGTTAGCTGCCTCCTGCACGCCCCCGACTGGGGATCAGGCCCTGAACCTGGGCATGTGCCCTGACCAGGAATTGAACCGTGACCTCCTGGTTCATAGGTCAATGCTCAACCACTGAGCCACGCTGCTAGGCTATTTATAGGACTTTTAAAAAGAAGAAAATGGAAATTTCTTTAGTATAAGAGTTCCATATTTAGAGTTTTCCTAACACACTATAGAAAAAAAATATGTGTATGTTCTGCTTCTCTGGTGAAAAATAACCCTGGTCTCAAGCTTTCAATATCCCAAAGACTCATGATTACTCCAAAATGTGTTTATTTGCAGTGATTCAATTTAACAAACACAGATTGAGCGCCTGCCAAATGCCAGGTTTCTTGCTGAGTGCCAGAGAGCCAGAGTGATTAAGAGTTCCTTTGCTCAGGACGAGGGGGGTGGATATATAGAGACAAATAACCGTAGAGAACAGTAGAGCTGGTGGGCATGTGGAGGGGGACCGAGGAAGATGCTGTAAGCTCTGCTTGGGAGGAGAGACTTGGAAAGCTGCAGGGAGCCAGGCACTGTATGAAATCGTTGGGCTCCCTGCCTAACTCCCTCTCTAGACCGTGTTCACCTTTGTACTCCCAGCATTTAGTACCAGGGCCAGGTGGGCATATAGTAGATGCTCCAGAAATATCTGTAGAAGGAGTAAATTGGACCTTCAAGGATCGGTGGGAGCCAGGCAGAGAAAATAGCATGCACAAAGGCATGTCTATTGCTGTAGCTCACACATTTTCTTGGCAGCTCAGAGCAGAGCACTATTTCAATGCTTTAAACATTCTCTGTTTATTAGGATATTGACAGCACGGATCAAGACAGATGGTGTGAATACATTATGTATCGAGGGTTGATCAGGTGAGCATAAGTGTTTGATTTTTTTAAAAAAATCTATTGTTACTGTGACCTTTTGGGTCTATCCTGGAGAGAAAAACTTTATGGAAGCAGTTAATTAATTTTAATTAATTTTGTTACTTTTTATAAACATCGATTTGGTTGGTTGTGCAGTTTAACATTTTTTTCAAGACACAGCCTAACAATTTAAGAAGGAATAAATGGCTAAGCAAATTGAGCTTAATTATACAAAGAGGATGCTATGTAAGCTATTAAGCATAGGTATGTAACTGCCAGCACGTGTTAGGAATGGCTCTAATTTTGGCTGTCTGGCATGGCGGAAACAGCACGGACCATGAAATAAGAAAGCCTCGAGCCTGAATTCCAGCATTGTCAGCTTCTAATCATGTAACCTTAAGTTAGTAAACTAAATTGTTAGAGCCACTACTATATTGTGGTGAGGTCTCTAGGTAAATCACATCCTTAAAAATATATCATCCCATGTAAAAAGTGAATACTTTATATATATTCCAAAATATTGTTTGAGAGGCAGTTTGTAGAGACAGAATATTCATTAATGTAGAAAAGTAGGGTAAGGTTGTCTAGTATGTTTAATTAAATCTATGAGCATGTCCTTTATTCACTTATGTCATAAAAGTAATATGTTGATAAATATTTAGAGTAACAAATCAAGATAATTCTAGTGAGAGAGAGTATTGTTAGAAGTGAGAAATTGACTTAATAATGAAGGTGTTTTCTACTAGATCTCATCAGATTTCTGAATGACAATAAAATCTTTCCAAACCACTTCTATTTCTGCCACAGATTGGGTTATGCAAGAATCTCCCACGCTGAACTGAGTGACTCTGAAATTCAGATGGCCAAATTTAGGATCCCTGATGACCCCATTAATTATAGAGACAACCAGAGAGTGGTCACAGACCACAGGGAAGTTCCCAAGAAAATTCATTTCAATCCCAGGTGAGTGGGCTCCTTTATGTTGTAGACTACAGTTATGAGACCCAGCATCCCCTCTAGGGACCTAAATATGATCCCACAATGAGCTACAAATTACATTTGGTTCTAGAGCTTCATTCAGGTAAGGGAGCTCAGGGTAAAGATGAGCCGGTGGCCTGAAGGGTCCCGGGTTTGATTCCAGCCGAGGGCACGTATCTTAGTTGCAGGGTCAATCCCCGGCCCTGGCAGCATGTGGGAGGCAACCAATGGATGTGTCTCTCTTACATCAATGTTTCTCTCTCTCTCTCTCTCTCTCTCTCTTCCACTCCTTCTGAAAAATCAATGGAAAAAATATCCTCAGGTAAGGATTTTAAAAAAAATCTTATTTAGGATTGAAGTTACGGTCCCTGCTCTCTGAGATAGAGAAATGTGTTGTAGTCCGAGCTTCAGGTGAAAAGATCACATAGGCATCATCGTCACTGTCGCCGTCCTTAACACCGTAGCAGCCCCTGACGCTGGAGTGCTCCCATGTCCCAGACCCTGATCTGAGTGCTTCGTGTGTTATCCTGATTCATCCCATTGGGGTGGGACTTCTGTTATCCCCATTTTAGAGGTAAGGGAGCGGAGGCAGAGCAACAGGAAATAAGTTCACTGGGGTCACAAGGCTAGTCGGGGACAGGGCTGAGGGGCGCGGGAGGCCTGGCGGCGCCGTCGGCCGCCGGGCTCGGGGGAGCTTGTAGAAGCGGCCACTGCGTGGGGTCCACCCCGCCTCTTCATGGCCCGGGCCTGGGACTTTCAAACATCTTGCCAGGTTGTTCTAATGTGCAGATAGGATTGAGACTGTGGACAGTGAATGATTCGTTATCATCGCCGATATTCTGCCACGTGAAGCTGTTGAGTTTGTTTAGTTTAGAGGTCACCTGAGAAACCTGTTTGCAGCAAGGCTGTGATTGGGGGGATGTGTTCTTTCTTCCCCCCACCACTGGATATGAGGAGAAACATCTGCATAAAACCAAACCCGGGGCACGTCACGTGCATTATTAGTTCTTGACGTTTTACTAGTTTTACCAACTGATAGCTGCAGAAACTTCTCCGACCTCATTTTGTTCGGGAGGAAACAGTGACATTCGTTTTTTC